AACAATGCCACACCGCCCTGGACAGCGCCTGCTGCCACAGCACCCAGGTGGCTGTAAAGTAATGGTGTCAGACCCTGTCTTCCAGGGGGACGCGGGGGCGGAGGGTTTGAGAATGGGAGCAGTCCTCAAGCCGACTCCCAGGCGGCCCCTCTCCTGCCTTTTCTGACTGCAGCCACCCTCCCCTTCCCTGCTAGGTTCCGTCATTCCGTCACACAGAACCCACGGGCCAGGGAAGGAAGAGGCTGCAAGTCAGGATCGGGCCCAACTTGAAAGGCGCAGGAACAGCTCAGAAGACAGGAGGCGGTCCGTCAACTGGAACAGGCGTCAGCCAAGACCAGCCAAAACCCAAGAGCAAACCCACTGCCACCCACTGGCAAGATGGGGCGCGCTGCTCCCGTGGAGCTGCGGCCTGGGAAACCCAAAGGGGTAGGTCGGTTCTGTAACAGCGAGTCACTGGGAGTCCGTAGACTCGATGGCAGGGGGTCTGGTCCAGTCGGGCTGGGTCTCAGCCCTCTGCAAGCGTGTGGCCTCGCTCAAACTACAAACCCAGGGCCGGCAACCAATCGCCCTGCATTATTAAATATAGTCGTGGGGCTCTGCATGTCACACACCTGGGCTCACTTCTCAGCGTTGTCTCTGCCCAGAGGTGAGGGTCCAGGAGGGGGCGGGGCGGCTTGACGACAGGGGCGTAAACAGCAAGGAGTCATGAAGAAGTCAGACCTCAGACAGGTGATCTTAAACAGCATACCGGAGCGCCTCTGCGCTTCAGTCTCCTCACCTGGGAACAATGATTTCAACGACGCTGCCTTCTTCTTGGAGCCCCGGTGGTGTCGCGGTTATGCACTGGGCAAGGTCAGCGGTTCGAAGCCACCAGCTCTCTATCCCCACAAAGCGTTCGTCTCAGAAACCCACAGGAGCAGTTCTGCCCTGTCCGGCAGGGTTGAACTGGGTTGGCATCGACTCAGTGTGAGTTGAGAACTATTTCTTGCACAGAGGTGAGGGCAGGGCGGACCAAGGAAACGCGGGAAGTGATTGGAACAGAACCTAGCACAGACTGAACACGAGTTAAATGTTTGCACCTGTTCCTTCTTTCTTTTGAACAACAACAAAAAGAAAGATGCGCACATTTTAAAAAGGTAAATGGCTCACCCTCCTCTACCCACTACTTTGTTGGTAAATCGGTCTGCTTTCTGGCATGGAAAAGCCTGACGGTGTACAGCAGGGGTCCTCAACCTCCCTCATGCCGTGGCCCTTTCATACAGTTCCTCGGGTCGTGGCGACCCCCAGCCATAAAATTATTTTCGTTTCTACTTCATCACTGTTATTTTGCTACTGTTATGAATCGGTTGATGCCTGTGAAAGAGTCGTGCGACCACCAAAGGGGCTGCGGCCCACAGGTTGGGAAGTGCTGGTGTAGAGGTTATTCGTTGGACTGCTAACTGCAAGGTCAGCAGTTCAAAACCACCAGCTGCTCCGTGGGAGAAAGAGGAGGCTTTCTACTCTCACCAAGAGTTACAGTCTCAGAAACTCACAGGGGTCGTTCTAACCTGTCTTTTCAGGGCCAATACGAGTCAGAATGGACTCCGTGGCCTAGAACTGCTGCTAACGGCAAGGTCAGCGATTCGAACCCACCAGACATTGTGTGGGAGAATGAGGAGGCTTTCTGCTCCTGAAAATATTTAGAGCCTCGGAAACCCTAGGGATCGGTTCTACTCTGTCCTATGGGTCACTATGAACCGGAATCAACCTGATGCCAGTGGGTGAGGTTTCATTTAGGCTAAAGGAGCCTGTAGGGTGCTGTTCGGGAAGCAGCAGACTGTTAACTACAATGAGGTTGCCAGTTCAAACCCACCAGCTGCCCTGTGGGAGGAAGGTGAGGCTGCCTGCTCCAATAAAGATGTATAGCCTCAGAACTACACACAAACAAGGTCCCTAAGAGTCAGAATCAACCTGCTGGCAGCAGTTTAGTTTGGAGAGTTTAGTGCCAGAACCTTCCAGAGAAAACAAACTCAATGCCACTGAGTCCACTCCGAGCCCTGGCGGGCAGCCCTATAGGACAGAATAGAACTGTCCCTGCGCACTTCTGAGACTGCCAGTCTTTATGGGAGTGAACAGCCTCACTTTTCTCCCAAGGAGTGGCTGGTGATTTCAAACTGCTGACTTTGCGCTTAATGACCATATGGGCAAACCGCTACGCCACCAGGGCTCCTTACAGTTATTTAATTCTGCCAGCAACCACCACAATGGAAGAATAAAGAAGCTCCGTGTTGCCTGGCTCAAGTGGCAGCCCTGGGATGGGAACTTGTCTGTTGGTTTCCTGAGCCACCCTCCCAGAATGGTTCTCCTTACACACCTCTGTGATGTTTGTCCTGGTAAACTGGGCATGCCTTTCTTGCACACCCCCACAACCACACCCACACAGTCGCAAATAATGGTCATGTCCTAAAGGGCGGGAGCAGTATTCATCTTAAAGAGCGTGCAAATGCACAAGCCGGCCCCACAACCTCTCCGCCCAAGAGCAACACTTTCCATGAGGGCACGGGAACGTAATGCGAAAAACGCAGTGACAACTCTTTCCCTAAAACTGTAAATACACTTCATTACAATTTTGCGAGTTAAACATTTAACAAGGTTAAATATTTAACGACAGTCTGTTTGCCCATGGTGTGCCACTTTTGAGAGCCTCAATGAGAAAGATATCGGAGAAATATACTCTATAGCAAAAGGGAGGGTTAGAAAAAAAGAGGGTGGGGGTCCAAATCGCCGTGCATTCTAAATTCCATGCCTGATTTACCACCTAACAACTGCAAGGGTTGAAAAATCAGGTGCACCTTAAACTCTTAGATCATCCCACAGGGACCATTTGAATAAAACAACAAAAACGTGCTGTTGTCACCAACAATTGAGATAAAAAATTTTTGACCTTTTTTCCCCCTTTAAAATCACTGCTCTATTTCATCCAATGAAAAACAAGTCAGTAAATTTGGTGGCCACCCTAAATTGGATTGAGAGCACTGGTTTTACAGACAGAAATGCAGGTTTCTGACTTGCCCCCTAGTAATGTTTTTAACACACACCAATCCTTGGTGACTTAAAAGAAAAAACCCAGCCTTGTCAGCAAATGCCACCTCCAGTGGCCACGGGGGATTTCCAGGGGCCGCTCGACATGAGGGACAGCGATGGGCCTATGAAATGGGGCTTCTATGAGGTGGCAGCTCCATCCTCCTTGCCAGCCAAATGGACACATGAAGGCTGGCGGGGGAGAACAATGCTCAGGTTTCTAGTTCTGGCAATGGGGTCGGTGATGGCCCATTTGCCAGTATGGCGACTCCTGGGTCCAGGAGAAGGATGAGGATTTCTGGTTGGGGTTTGAGGAGCCCAAGGGGCTGCCACCATGGGGTAGCAAGGAACCTCAGGTTTGATCCATCATCAGGAGTGGGAGAGGCTACCGTGGCTTTGAGACATGAATTCAAGCTCTGACAGCGGTGAGAAGGTCCTGAAATCACTGGAAGAAGTATGTATGCAGAGGTGTGTGTGTGTGTGTGTGTGTGTGTGTGTGTGTGTGTGTGTGTAGATAAAGGTGGGTGGAGGACAGGTAGGCAGATAGGGCAGCAGGGTGTGGTGATCAACACCAGCCAGATGGCAAGTCAAAGACAGCTCCTTTTAAGGCCCTTCTGTTGCAGTCTCTCTACCAGTTAAGCTTTGGTGAATAAAATCAGGACAGGACGGGGGTGGTGGGGTGGTGGTAAGGGAGAGGCACAAAACCCATTAACCTTGTCCCCAGTCTGCCCTGGAGGTACAAACGGATGCTCAAGGGCCTATCAAGAAAAACGAGACAGTTGATGAAACACTCACTATTGCGCCCAGCCCTTCGCTCAACATTAAGCACGCCGTATCTCTGGAATCATCAGGCCCTGGCACGCAAGTCCTATGACTACCATTTCACAGATGGGACACTGAGGCTGGGAACGAACATGTGGGGACTGTCATGCCACAGCCCACAACAACCAGGCAGTTTCGGAGCCAGATGGAGAACACTGCAGAAGAACAATTATAATAACCCAGAGCGCTACTTCCTGAGGGAGGACAGACCCAGCCAATCCTTCACAACCCGCAGAGGCTGAAACCGCTCCATTGTGCACAGGAGGGGCAGGAGGTGACACTGAGGAAGCCACTTCTGAGTCTGAGACCACCACTGGGAAGACGTACACTCCAGCCAGTGCTTCAGCCTCGCAGGGTCCCTGGGCCACTGGGGAAATGCAGGATAATAAATGCTACCATTTCCTGGGGCTGACGATGTGCCCGCTGCTGCTCCAAGTGTTTCACTGCTGGCGGCCTCCTTACAACCTCTACGCGGTGTTAAAAATCTCGTTTTACAGATAGGGAAACCGAGGCACAAAGAAACGATGCCGGTTGTCCAAGGTCACACCGCTGGCAAATGGCAGGGTCTGAATTTGAGCCGAGCTACCTCTGCCTTCAAATCAAAGCTCTTAATAAAATAATCTCGTGTAACAGCAGCTAGCCTGCATGAAGTGATGCTGTAGATGCGTCCACTCTCCGGATACACTCGCCCAACTATGCGGTAGGCAGAATCTTCACTCCCAATTCTCCCGCAGCTAACAATAGCGCAACCATCGCTAATAAGTGCTTGCTAAGTGCCAAATGCTTTATTTCCAGGATCTATCTCAACAGAAGGTCCAACAGGAGACAGGCTCTGTCCTTCCCCGCTCTGCCGGAGGGAAACCGAGGTTCGGCGCGGTTTCCCCCGATCGCAGCGCCCGACTCCCATTCCATGCTCTTCCCCACGGATTGCACGTCTGGAAAGTTGAGCCACCAGGGCACGACTCTGACCGGGTCCTGAGGGCTCGGGTCCGGCGACGACGCCGCCCACACCCGGCCATCCGCTGGGTAGCCAACACGCACTGACCCTCGAAGTCCGAGCACCCACCGATCTCCCACCACCCCTTGCACGAACCGATTCTGCACCCGGAGCCACGTACCTGGACGCCTGGACTGCCCGCCCCGCGGGACCCACGACCGCAGTGTCCAGCCTCTCGCCGCTCGCTACAGACGCCTCCAACCTCGGTGGCCCAAGTGACTTCCAGGCTGCCCACTTCCAAGGCGCTTCGCGCGAGGTCTCCTGGGAACTGTAGTTTGGCCCTAGGCGGCGAACAGGAAAAAAAGCCTGACGCGTAGGTGCTGCCGGGAGTCGTAGGCACACTGCCGCGCCGCCTTCTGGGAAACGTAGTCCACCCGTAGCCCGTGCAGCTTCGACCACCGGAACACGTCCGTCGCTCTGGTCCCCGGGGTACTGCCGCACCCCCGAAGGGAGTGAGGGGTGGAGGCGGTGCCTTCTGCAGATTCCAGCCTGGGAACTGCGCTCCTCACTCTGTCGGGCCTGCTTCTCGCTCTCCCTTCCAGCCCTGACCGCCGCCTGCCTTCATTTAGCGCGCCCTCTTCCTCCCTCTCCACGAGGCACGAGGGACTTACCCCGAGGGCGCGAGCCTCGGGAGAGGCGGAGACCCGGGAGCAGCGCGCTAGACCCTCCACGGAAGGGGGCGGTGGAAGAAGGAGTCGGTGCGCGCTCGCGCACGCGCGTTCTCCGGCCAGCGCCGGCCCGAATTGCCGCGGGCGCCAGCGAGGAGCACGCTCCCGCCCCCGCCCCCTCTG